CTTGCCCCAGGGATTCTTTGCCCATTTGTCCAGGTCGACCCTTCTCTTTCTTGCCAAACAAGCGGCCAATGGAGGACTTAATCCCCTTCTTCTTGGGGGCTTTGTGGAGTGAGTCCTGGCTGCTGTTACTGCTGCTGGGGTTGCTCACATGACCATCCTGGGAACCTGTCGAGCTTCAAGAAAGGAAGATTATTTGACCTTTAACCTGCGCGCTCATCGCAATAAAGCATTTTAGTCACGTTAACTTAGAACATCTCACAGTTCTAACGCTGGCTCTTCAAACTGCAGAACAAACCGTTCAAGTCTTCCTTCCCCAAATCCTCGTGCAACGCACTATGCACGACACCAGTGTGCAATGATGACGTAACAAGAACAGAACTGTTTCCGGGAAGCTGAGACGCTGCTGGGCGGCTCTCGCTCATGGGAAGCACACTGCCCCCCGTGAGGCCGGGCTCCCGGGCAGCCAGGGGAGCGGCGGGCGGGTGGGCGGGCAAGCAGCCTCGGGGTCTGCAGGCTGCTGCCCGAGAATCCCTTTCCTCATCTGTGGAATGGGAGCAGGGTGAACCACTGGCAGGACTGTGGCAAAGCTGACATACATGCCCTCCATGATGCATGGCCTGGTCCACTACAAACACTCAGTAAGTGGGAGCTTGAAAAAGGGGTATGTTAGCAACAAAACCGCTTACTGCGTTCCTTAGAGGAAGCGCTGGGCAGGGGGCTTGGAACTCTGAGTAGCTTGTAAAAGGACAAGAAGCACCTGAGAGTCACTGTCTGTCCATCTGTCTGTCCGACAGAGCTACATAGATCTCAGCGCAGACGAATCAGAAACAGCTAATCTGCCTGGCAGTTCTCCATCAAGAACAGAAGGAAATTTCTCAGACTGGGCAATTTACAGGATCTAAAGAAAGAAAAGTTTTTCTAGATTTGCTGATGCAGTAAAACCCATGAGAGCTGGAACTTGATGAGACTGCCTTGTTCTCCCGGGTCTCGCAAGTTTTCCGCCTCTGACAGGATGCGGTCACCACTTTTCTATCGCTCTGTTAGTGGAAAACAGTTGAGTTTTCCTTCTCTGACAGGTTTCTGCATGACACAGGTTCCGGCTTTTGCAGGATTTCCCTGTATAATTCCACTGCTCCCTCTCTACACCCAGTCTGCACACACACACAGGCACACAGCTGGATCTCACTGCAGCCTGGAGCAGGTGTATCCTAGGGACAGCAGCTAAGTCACCACACCTACGTTCACTAGGGCTACAGGAAGAGACCGACAGGATTGTTGGACTGAACACCAAACCCCAGGCTGACTGGGGCTGGGCGGCTGGTGCGTGGGTGCCATGCTCCTTACTTCCATATGTCCCTGATGTCCTCGTGGCTGACCGTATGCAGGGCTCCTTTGTGCAGCCTGTCCAGCCGCAGTGACCGCGGGGAGGAGGGCGGCGACGTTTCACATTTTATCATTGTCTTGTCATCTCGTACCTCTTCTCTGGAAGCTGGCAACTGAGGGGTTGAGAGAAGAGTAAAATGAGTTACCAGCAGACTGTGAAACAGCCAGACAGCCCTTCAATTATCACCATAAATGTACTTGAAAATCTATTAGCCAGGCTTTCTACTAACTACAAGAGGCTTGTTTCAGTCTGACGCTGTTGTACAAGGCCATCTTACTCACCAGAAGCAGGAGCCAAGGCTCACGGGGCAGAGGCGGACTCCGCGGGGAGCAGGCCATGCCTCAGCCTCGGGCCCCATCCTTGCAGTACCTGGCTCTGCCCGCCCTAGAACTCCAGGCCTTTGGTGAGGACAAGCACTGGAGGGTCAGGAAGGTGTGGACAGTGCCCGAGGACGCACCACTATAGCTTTTAGACAGCTTAGGTGAACTCATTCTAGTGATACCACCAACAAAAGCTCTTTTTCAGACTCAGGCTCTTCCTTTTTGTAAAGGAATGTGGGTACGCAGAGTGCAGGGGAGAGAAGAGGGTGGTAACGGTGGTGTGAACAGATGAACCCCCTCAGCATCCAGACAAGGCTGATTGCTAAATTTGGGTTTTGTGTTTCTGACATGGGACTAGATCGCATGAACCACCGGCACAGCAAACATTCCTCTAAACAGTAAGATGTGAACAGTTAATACCTGCCTTTCTATGGGATTTTAATGGGACTGTTGATGGGATTCTGCAAAGAATATCAGCCCTGTGGCAGCTCCACAGTGGCTCAACGAGAAGCAGCTGGAAGAGCACTGAGCGGAACGTGGGTAAGATACAATCCTTACCGATAGC